TAGTTTACGACTAGTTTTCTGTGACTGCAATTCCTTGAGCTTCCGGTCAAAAAACTCCTGTGGCTTGGTCACCAAACATGGGTGTTTCGTCTCAATATGACGCCGGAGTTTACATGGTCTCATACTGTCATTATCTAGTACCTCGTTGCAGATAACACACTGTAGCAGTGGAGTATCATCAGGACCGGTCCATGAAAATCCTAGCTTCAAATAATCATCTGCTACAGTGTGTTATCTGCAACGAGGTACTAGATAATGACAGTATGAGNACTTATATAGCGCTTTATCCAGTCTTTAAGACCCCTCAAAGCGCTTTACATACTACATGTCATTCACCCATTCACACCCATTCATACAGAGCAGTGTACCTTACTCTAGGACCTAACATTCACACACATTCACACACCGTTGGCCATGCCATCGGGAGCAACTCAGGGTTAAGTATCTTGCCCAAGGATACATCGACATGTTGACTGCATGGGCTGGGATCGAACCCACAACCTTCTGGTTGAAAGACGACCACACTCCCTCACAGCCACAGTCGCCCTCTAGTCTAGTTCTGATCTAGTTGATCTGATACATGGCTCTGGCTGAACTATAAGCTGCTGACTGTTGAACATATGAGCTGCACGATTTTGGGAAAAAATCTAATTGCGATTTTTCTGACAAATATTGCGATTCGAATTGCGATATTTGTTTTTAAGCAACCCAACGAAAAAAAGAAATTGTAAAAAAAAAAAAAAAAAGTTTAAAAAAATCGCAGGCTTTGCGATTTGATAATCGCATGATTTCAAATCGCGATTTCGATTTCAAATCGATTAATCGTTCAGCCCTAACCCCCTCCCTAATATTAAGCCTGGTGTCCCTTCTAAAAATAACTTGATTTTACATTCCCCTTTTTAATCTACTGCAAACTTTTGCACTAGCCTTTTTCCCATAATTGCACTAGCCTTTTTCCCATAATTGTGACATGGTAACTATGACATACTATAACTATCATTGAAAAGTTTAGAATATCCTGTCAGCAAGTCTAAGTAGTGAAAGCTAACTGAGGGTGGTCTCCCTGTCTCCTAAAGGTCCCTGTCCAATCCTGGTTTGATGACATGAATGACACGGAGCTCCTGGACCTGCTGCCTTTCTTCGAGGGACTGAGCAAAGAAGAAGACGTTTACGGGGTCCTGCAGAACCTGAGAGGCAGGTAGCAGGACGCAGCCCAGCGCCGCCCGCGCTCTCCATCTCCTCCCCTCTAGCCCCCCCCCTCTCTTTCCACAACCACGTCTCTCAGACTCAGGCAGATCCTCCCGCACGTGCCCCTCTTGTCTCTGCCCCAAGGGGGGACGCCCTGGAGTCTCACTGTGGAAAAACCTGTCATGTGACCCCGCTCTCCTCTCCCGGTGACCGGCTGCCTTCTGAGTGCCGTCAGAAAAAAGAAAAATATCCCAGGAGCACTGTGTTTGACGGAAAAAAAAACCGCCAGAAAGTGTACAGAGAGTTGATAAGGTCGGGGGACAAAATGCTAAGAGGAATGAACTCTGGTCTTTATTTTCAAAACCAACCAAGTTTTATTATTCGGTGAAGTGCTTATTTTAAAAACCAAAAAAAAAACACAACAACGTTTTGTCTGAAATTTTGTGGAACCACACAAAAGTCTGAAAAAGATTTTGTCCGCGTATTGTTGCTATGCAGGCAGTTTCTGGTAGTAGGAAGGACTGTGATTCTCTCTTCTTACTGAGAAGTGCCTTGTGTGAATGTTGTTTATATGGGGAGATATTTTGTACATGGCACATTTCCAGAGTACAGTCTTTTCACGAAAAATATGCTTTCAAGTGAGAATTAATCTTGATATACAAGTTTTTTTGATTATCAAATGCTGAGTTAACGTCTCCATAATATTCTCTTTCTCCCAGTATGCTTGTGCCATTATATAGATGTTTCTTTCTGCTTTCATTATATGTAGAATTTATTTGTTTTTAGACAAAGGAGTACGTTTGCAATTGTGAACCTTGCGTTTAATAATTTGATCTGAAAGCTCAGATAAATTGTGCCATTTATCTTCTCTCTCTTCCCTCCCCTCTTCCTTATCTCTTTTTATTATTTGCCAAATAAGAAAATTATTTATTATCATACAGTGTTTCAGCTACAACTGTTAAACCATTAGTAGTAAGTATAGCATTATAGTTTTCCATCTTTTGACCGATGTTGTTAAATACTTTTGTATTTTTTGTTTGTAATGTTGTGCTTATCATATGGATAGCTGTTAGCCCAAAATGTGTTTTGTTTTTTTGGGACACACTTGTCCATAATTGTACACCGTTGCAAAGGTATCCCTTTTTGTTGTTTCTATTTGTGTGGGATCTTACAGTTAAAGGTTCTAGTGCCATGTTTTTTAATGTTTTTTCCCCCATGAGGTTAGTGTCTTTAGGGAATATAGGATTAGCGGTTGGAGCAGGGGGCAGTGTTAAAATCACACCATTCTCTCCAGATTTACAAACGGCGATGGACGGTGCGATGTTTACCTTCCCGGACTCTTTTGAACTGCTCTTCACCTCAGTGCCTACGTTTGAGAGGAGCCACGCAAACCGAATGCTGCAACATTAGCTACCATGGCAATAACCTTTTTCGGGGGGGTGGAGTTTCCATAAGAAGTGTTTGGTTTGGGTGTCGAGAGCACTTGAGGAGGCTGGCCAGTAGAGGTTTGGTTTACACTAAAAGCTGCTTTGGTTATCGCAACGACTTTAGTGTTCATAATTGAAACATACATTTCTCACATTCATTGATCCGCAAGCTGGACAAACACATATCAAATTGTCTTAGCTAAACAATGTTAATGTCATAGTTTGTTGGTAAAGAAAGTATTTTAAATCGGTTTTTTAAAAGGACGCCTTTCCAACCTACAAATGGGTGCTGAGTATTAGGGGCCAGCTCTAAATGGAAAACTACAGGGGCACTGCGTACGTACTGTGAGGAACCTCATCACGGCACTGAAGCCTTACTGCCTGCGGAGGCACAAAAGCAATGTGTCTTCATCGATTCCAACGTTACATCCACACGTTTTAGCATTGTCTCTTTAGTGCGGAGTGTAAAATCCACTGGGCGATATATCTGTAGACCGTATATGGCCAGGTGAGTTAACATTATGAAACAAAGGAAAAAAAAAAAGGCTCTGGTGCATCAAGGGACGCACGCTCCTTTGCTTTATTGCTTGGTTTCTATGGTCATGATGCATTAAAAGACATACACTACTTCATCATTTCCAACATTTTTTTCAAGTTGAAAGGCTGCTGCTCTTACAGGCGTATTGAAATATTTTCCTTTCGCGTAAGCATTTGTGATGATGGTGAGCTCATGATGAAGGTTTCAGTGCAATGTCCTTTTCTAAGAAGTGTTTGGTGGACTCTTCTCAACCTCTCAATGATGACCTTTCTCTGAAAATGTTGTTTGTATCATTGGGATATTTTTCTACTTAACTTTTCGTCAGTATTTGGTTTGAGAATTTCCATATTACCCATTGTATCTGGCTTTTTTGTTCTCCTTTCAGATCTGTCAGGTCCCTGTCTTGCCTTTGGTGAGAATTCTCAGTCAGGTCTTGTTTTTCCTATCGGGACACGTTTGTGTGTGTGTGAACTACGCGGGCATCTTGTTTGTACTTCCTATCTGTTTTTCTTTGTGTTTCACCTCACTCAATATAACACATTCATAATTTAGTATTGATTTAAGCACCAAAGTTCTACAACACTTGAGTTCAAGTCACTGTGGGGTGTTTTTATTTGTTGGTGAGGTAATTAATTTCTTTTTCTTTAAAAAAAACAAAACTCGCCTGTTCTTGTTTTACTTTGAGTGTTTGCAGCGTGTTGTCATCCTGAGCATCAGTTATTTTCTTTATTTCCATAATAAAAGGCTTCATTGAAACAATTTGTCAAACATTTTATTCACACGTAAGACTCCATGCTAGATTAATTAAAGCAGAATAAATGTAATTAGTCTGATTCACATTTTTCCCTGTCTTTTTAAAGCTGCAACTATGTTTGTATTATATTAACCTGTCGATTATTTCTTCGATTATTATTATTCAATCAAATCAGTTAAATAATTACTAATAGATTATTAAAATATTAGGTTTTTAATTAAATCGTCGACAACCAAATGACAAATCATGCTATCTTAACTTATTTAGTCTCTAACAACAATGGCAGTTGAGAAAACTAACATAAACCTTAAATAATATAATTGGCCTGTTGAGGGCACCACCTTTAAAGGTCCCATGTCATGGCCATTTCCACTGATCATAATTCCATTGTTGAGGTTTACTAGAATAGATTTATATTGTGCAATTTTCCAAACTCACTTTGGTTTCCCATACAGCATCTCTGTAAACTGTAAAGTATGTGTACCGGTATTCACTCCTAAACGGCTTGGTCGAGCTCCTGCCCCCCTCCCTGTTAGCCCAGTGTGTTCAGATTGGTCGAGAAGCTGACAGGCTCGTTGCTGCTCGCACACACACAGACACACACACTGCTGCAGGAGCAGACAGGCTTGGCGATTCAGCTAGAACAAGCTAAACTCATCCTGAGCACACAAAAACACTCACAGCCGAAGTAAAAACAATAAATGTGGCCTGATATTGAGTAAGAAAAAGGTTTATAACGCTGTTAGCATGGGTTTGCGGAGAGCATTTCTCCGCGATCACAACGCAGTAGTCCGAAAAAAGTTCACCCATTTAAACAGTCGTGGAAGATACCTTGTTTGTTTTAAACATCATAAATACACAAACAACAATGAATACTTACAGGTTGTGTACCCGAATCTCCCGCTGGTCCAAACAAAGTAGGAACAGCATCGTTCTTCAGTGCCCTACGCTGTACATATNTGGAGTTGGCCCAAAAGCCGTAGCGCCAGTGTTCAAATCTGGATCAGTCTGTATCAGATCCGTTGCAGCCCCTTTTTAAGAGATTTGGGTATGGAGGAAAATAGAGAGGGTTGTGTTTTCTGACACTTGGTGAGTTCCCTGGAACACCGAGGACACATATTCATGTATAAAAGATGTACAAAAGTGCACTTTGCATGATAGGTCACCTTTAGATTCTTACTTGCATACAAAACATGAGAAAATGTACTTAATACCTTTCCCCTGCTGCATACTTACTTAATAACTGAATTACATATTTACTTATTTACTGTCTAACCTACTTACCTACTTACTTACTTATTGACTTACTTACATACAGTACTTATTTACTTATTCACTTATTAACCTACTTACCTACTTACTTACTTATTGACTAACTAACTTACTTCCATACTTACTTATTTACTTACTAACTTACTTACTCATTACTTACATACTTACTTACATACATACATGCGTGCGTACATGTCTAACTGCTGTAATGTTTGTGGTGTGTTTTCAGACGGTGCCAGATCTGGTTCAGATCATGAAAGGTCTGGTGCTTTCGGGTTATTCTCCAGAACATGATGTGGCAGGAATCAGCGATCCCTTTCTACAGGTCAGTGTGGACTCAGTGGATCATATTACAGTATCATATCACTCTATTTATCCTTTTTAATTAAGGTCAATAGATGCTTTACTGGCAGGACATTTTGTTCAACAGTTTTTCCATTTTCATTTAGCTGTATCTACATAGCCAACATAATAACAACACAATTAAAAATAACAAAATTAGATCAATGCAAATAATGGGTTACCATAATAATAATAAAATAAAACAGCAAAGGTGTGTGTGTGTGTGTGTGTGTGTGTGTGTGTGTGTGTGTGTGTGTGTGTGTGTGTGTGTGTGTGTGTGTGTGTGTGTGTGTGTGTGTGTGTGTGTGTGTGTGTGATATCATTACTGTTCTTAATTTTCCAGACAATCAACAGATTTTATATTATTGAATGTTCAGGTTGTTCCTTCTTTCAGTATCTTTTTTTCTCACTCACACTTACAGATGTATCACCCTATAATCCGTCCTCCTATTTTCGCTTATTCTGTGCTCCAAAATAACTTTTATTCCATCTGTTCCGTCCTCAGGTCCGCATCTTGAGGCTGCTGAGGATCCTCGGTCACAACAACGAAGGAGCCAGTGACGCCATGAACGACCTACTGGCTCAGGTCCAATTTTCTCCTTCACAAATAATAATAATCATTCTCTGAGTTCTTTCTTTCTAGCTCAAAATAAAAAAGTGTTCTCTTTGAACATTATGTTCTCTGGTAATCAAGTTTCTGTAGGTGTCCCTCCTCTCTATTTTCAGCCATCATGGGTGTCACTGCTCACGCTGAGTCACCCAGTTTGTTTTATTCCAGGCAAACTGGAACATGTACAGCACACCACTTCCTGTGTGCCAGAGTATGTTGCTCTTTTCCCAAACTGGGTGATAAAACAGAAAATGTAAATATTTCTATGGCAACTGGTGGCAGAAATAAAGCTTTTTTTTCCCAAAAACGATTAAAGAAAACACACCAATTAAAATGTGTCGCATGAGTAATGTTTGACTTTCCGTGCAGGTGGCGACCAACACTGACAGCACTAAGACTGTGGGCAATGCTGTGCTGTATGAAACTGTTCTCACCGTGCTGGACATCAAGTCAGAAAGTGGCCTCAGGGTGAGACTGGCAGCACCTCTCACTGTGTGACATCTTAATACATAATTAATGTTGTCACCTTATTAATTAAGAAATGGTGACTTATTCCCCAGGTTCTGGCTGTGAACATTCTGGGAAGATTTCTCCTGAACAACGACAGAAACATTCGGTTAGTGTTTGTTTCTTTTCCGTTCCTCCCACAGTTCTTTCTCTTTTTCCTCCTCTCAGGGTCATTTTGAGCTTTTTCATTCCACAAGGCCAACGGCAAACCCCTGGCATCCTGAGAAAGAAACCCCCCCGACAGGCTGTTATCAGTCCGAGCTCACTAATCACTTTCCTGGGAGCCGCTCCTCTAGAGCAACACCAGAAGGTCACTGTCTGGCTGTTAATGCTGATCTCTCAATTACGGGGCCGTGTCATTTGTCATCATCCAGTGTGGAGACCTGTTAACTGGTTCCTCCGGGCTGGTTTTTCGCTGCTATTTTTTAAAGTTTGTTTCCATAGGGGTTGTGTGGTCTGCTTTTTACCTGCAGCGCTCTTGAATCTCTCTCTGGCTGTTTGACAGTAATAGGGCTGCTTTTCCTTCTTCCCTGGAGAGATAACATCTCGCCAGTCAGTGCATACATTAATACTTAAGCAGTCCATAAGACATTTTAATTGGAATGATGAATTATTTATCTTACAGGTTGAGAGAGTAATGTTTTTACAGAGCTGTGAATTAATCTTATTGTGAGCTGATGGTTATATTTTTAGTTTTTTATTCTGTAGCAACTAAACCAATATCAAACAAATACAGAAAACAAACTCAGACTTCCGCTGAGGCACCAGGTAGCGAATGTCATGCATGGATAAATCCAGTGTCCAGGCAAGAATATAGTTTGTGCAGTTTATTGAAGAACCTTTTCTCTTGTCCTGTGACTTGCCCTGATAAAGAAAACACATGCCTGTCAGTGTCCTGTGCCCAATCCCACCTCAACCTGTCTTCCACTGAATAAATAAATCACCTAGTGCCCAATGCTGCCTTCAAAATAAAAGCATAATCAACTACTCAGATGATCTTAAAGGGGCCTTATTCTGCTTTTCGGGGTTTCCCCTTTCATGTAGTGTGTTGTATAGGTTCAAAGATTGCAGAGTTCCCTGCAGAGGGAGCTTCTCTCCCACACACTCACACTGCCTGAAACACCTCCATTGGACTCCTTTATTTACCTGTAACATAATAACTGTGTAGCACTCGCGCTTCTGTTGGCTATCGCTCCAACACATTGTAGGTAATAGGCCAATGGGCGGGACATCTCTAAGCTAACCAATCAGAGCAGACTGGTTTCAGACAGAGGGCGAAAAGAGGTGCTGCAGAACAGGCAGTATGAGAAAAATAAAGACAACTTCATTTTTGTCTGTTTCTTTTTTTGTATTCAGGTACATTGCCATGACCTCTCTTCAAAAGATTGTTGGGACAGACCACAATGCAGTGCAGCGCCACCGGGGAACCATCGTGGACTGCCTGAAGGACCAGGATGCTTCAGTCAAGCGGTAACTTTGCCCTCTCCTCTGCCTGTCAGGCACAGCTTTTCTTCAAATGATCAGCAAACTTGTCAGTCAAGCTTTTCCAACGTCACCTTTTAATGTTTATTTTAAGAGTCATCAATCATGAATTCATTATCTCTTGTTTTCAAATATATTATATACTTAGAGATCAGTTCATTTTTAAGTAGAAATCAATCTTTCCAAATGTAGCAAACCTCTACTGTGTTATCCCTATTTTATGTTTGGGGATATTTCCTTTTAATATGTGAACATGCACCTTCTGTCTGGTCAGTTTAGAACACTGAACTCAGCCGCATCAACACAATGATCCGTATTTTTAATATTATATTATAAAGAGAAACGGCACCGGAATCGCATTTTCACATGAAAGGGCCAATACTACATATTTACTGACATTAACCCTTTCCTGGCCAATTCTCCAGCCGTGCGTTGGAGCTCTCCCTGGCACTGGTGTCGGCAACCAACGTCCGCTCCATGATGAAGGAGCTGCTCATCTTCCTCTCCTCCTGCCCCCAAGAGCTCAAGTCTCATGCTGCCAGTGGCATATTCAACGCTGCAGAGAGGTGAGTGACATGTGCACAGACATGATTCTATTACAGACTGTTTTTTTAATATAGACATTTCATTTTAATTGTACTAATGAGTAAGGCTGTGAATACCCTACGTTTAATATTTCAACATGTTAAATACGTTTAATGTCTTGATTATTATTATTATTATTATTATTATTATTATTATGTTTAAGTAATATTTGATTAGCGTTTCCATTTTTGAAGTGTAGGTGCTTCCTTATTTTTTACATTGTTTTGCAAAATCAACTTCTTATAAACTAATGACAAAAAATTATTTGCCATCCTGGTTTTGTTTTTTTGTATTTTAAAGGAGGCAAATCATTGGTGAAAAAATATTTCATTAATCTGAGGAGATGGTGCTCAATATATGAATTGTATCCCTTCTTTAATATAATCTTGTCTGATTTACACCGTATTGCTGATTTTTATTATTTTATTATTTATTATTATTATTTATTATTATTATTATTGCATGTAAGCACACATTCATGTGCATGTCAATACATTTATTGTGACGTTTTTAAATTTTGAAGGCTGTTTCAGAAAGTCCTTTATATGTGTGTGGCTTCATGTATCAATCTGTGTCTGTCTCCACTCTAAATGACACCCCAGTCTCTTTAAGTGGCAATCAATCGTCTTCTATTTTTTTATTGTACACGCACTTGTGTATGGACTTGCAGATGGATATGTGTGTGTGTGTGACTCCACTGCACCACTGAATGTGTGTGTCTCTGTCTCTGTCAGGTATGCCCCCTCCCAGCGCTGGCACATTGACACCATCCTGCATGTCCTCACCACGGTAACTACACACTGAGCCTCCACCTGCTGCCTCTCACATGGGGTCCTCACTTTACACCTGTTTTTAAGTTGTCATTATTAATGTGCTCAGATACCAGGGGCCTACAGGGGGCCGACACATGCATATGCGTTAAAACGGCCAAAAACATTTCCATTAGGATAAAAGTGTTGTCATTTTAAAAACAATGCAAACTAAAAAACACAAATGTGCCAAAACACAAGCAACTTCACAACACATGGGCAGCATTTAGAGAACATTCACCAACTTGGCGAATCATAAGCATAGTTTACTAAAAGCGCTGCATAAAAACAAAATGAGAGAACTCTGCAGGAAACTCAAAGCACAATAGAAACGGGGATACTAAGAAGTGATGCAGACAGCTGGGACTGGAGTGCTTGTTGGCGTTCGATTATACAGTTGGCCAACTGTCAATGGGAACTTAACTAAAAAAATGTATTGGCTTATTTTAACAAAGTGATCGCATGATTCCTTCCCATATTATTGCAGATCAACTGTAAGCTAGCTAGCTAACGTAGCTAACCTCGTCATTTCCAGTATACTGAGAAAACACTTACAATTATGAAACTTTTGCCAATGTTCTAATCACCGAACGTCAACAACCTCTCCTTATTAGTGTCTCCTGGTTTCCATTGTGTTTTGAGCTTCTTGCAGCGTTTTTTTTATTTGCAGCGATTTTAGTAAACGCTGCGCATGTTTTGTTAAATTGGTCAATATTTCCTAAATACTGCTAATGTGTTGTGAATTTGTTGAAGATTTTTTTTCATTTGCAAGCGTTTTGGCACATTTGTGTTTTTACATTTGGATCAATTTTGACAGTCCGGCGTGTTTGCACCTGTCGGCTACCGTAGAGGCCACATGTGTGAAAGCTTTGTGTGCATTAAGATACTTCATTTACATTTTTCCAAACTAAAAGTTTGACGTCTTTGTGCAAACTTTTACACATTCGGCCCGACTTCCTGAACATCCCTGACTAGCCTCTCTATTTGTTCCATTCCTACTTTTTATTTTGTGCTGGGAAAGGGAATAAATGCAATCCACATGATTAGCTTACGCTTACCTTAGCCTTTATTCTCCAAACGATGGAGCGTGCAGGAAGGGTAACGTTTAAAAAATGCTCAATTTTATATCGGTAAATGTCCATGAACTGTGATTGAAGCCTTTCCCATGTGAGGTCATTGTGTCTGGGAGGAGATGTAGGGTGACCCAAATACTTGTGCCAGCTGTCTGTCTAATGGAGTTTGTGTGTGAGCGTGTTTTTACTCTGATTTCCACTCTGTCAGGCAGGGGGGGACGTGAGAGATGAAACTGTGCCCAACTTAATCCAGCTCATCACCAACGCATCGGAGCTGCACTGCTACACCGTCCACAAGCTCTACCGGGCTCTGCTCCTCGACATCTCCACGGTGTGTGTGTGTGTGTGTGTGTGTGTGTGTGTGTGTGTGTGTGTGTGTGTGTGTGTGTGTGTGTGTGTGTGTGTGTGTGTGTGTGTGTGTGTGC